GCTAAGAAAATCCCCTGCTGCTTAGGAGGGAGGGGCCCCCTCTGGATCCTGGGAAACACTGTACCTACTGCCCTTACAGGGATCCTGAGTGGTGTTACTCCAACTACATCCTTCAACTTCAGAGCTTGGGGAACTGGTTGACTTTCAGCCTTACTCCAGAGCACCCTGTGATGGAGGGTACGCAGCGCCAGTGGCACTTAGAGTTTATGATGCCCTTTGGCAATGAGTGGTCTTTGGACTTCTAAGCATTTTGCTTCCATCTGGTTCTTGCGGGGGTGCCTGTGCCCCCATGTGTTTGTTGGCACGGGCTAAGAGACATTCATGTGCAGCTGAGGAATGCAAATAGTTCTGAGCTGGCCTTTTAGTTTGGGAACCCTCCAAAAGCAGTAACTCTTTCAGGTTGTCTTGACATGGTAAATTAAGAGGTGCAGGAAAATGCTACATCCTGTAAAGTATATACTTCAACTGTCCGGGCCTCCTGCACCTCCACCACCAGGAAAGGGTACGTGTTCACTCATGTGTTTGTCGTCACCACCCTCTTAGCCAGAGGCCTCCATTGAGTGTTCACTGTGTCCCTTGCAGATGAATTGAAAGAGCAAAAAGAAAACCCCTACGCATGCCAGTCTGTATCTTGGAACTTCTCACTTTGAATGGACATAGCAAAAAATAAAATTTAACGAAATTAAGCCCCAATCCTGCTTCGTCGTAACCGGGTGGTGCTGAGTAGAGGTTGCCCCCTTTCAATGGGGAATAAGTTTTCCAGCTGGCATAGTCCCCACATTTCCCTGGTTTTTGTTTTTTTGTTTTAAATACACTTTCTGCCAAACTCCTTTAACGTTCTTGCAGTAGTGCTTTCAAGTTGCTTGTGAGAGTATAAATTGATACAACGTAAATGAAAGGGAATTTGACAGTATCTAGCAAATTGTAAATATATGTATCCTTTGACCAAGCAATTTTCTTCTAGAAAATTTATTTTTATACTCACATATTTGCCACGTGACATAAGAACAAGGTTATTCATTGAAGCATTATTTATAATAGTGAAAGACTAGAAACAATCTATTCATAGACTGGTAACTGGTTAAAGAAGGATATGGCATACAACAGAATACTACGTAGCTATAAACGAACAGAAAAGAATGAGAAAGCTCTCTGTGAACCTATACGGAGACATTCCAAGGTATATTATTAAGTTAAATAAAAGGCAAGGTGCAGAGCAGCATATAGAATGCTACTACCATCTCCCACTTGAATTAAACAGGCTAGAGGGAACTCTGTATGTGTATTTGCTAGAGCACACGTAGAAAATCTCAGGAAGGATGCACAGAAAGCCTAGAGCATGATTGCCTCTGTGAGGTAGACCAGGAAGATGAGTGACAGGAGTTGAGAGGGCTAGATTTCATGGAATACCCTATTGTACTTTTTGATTTTTAAGCGATTCTTAAGCCATATGATTGTATTACCTATTTTAAGAAAGAAATTTTTCTGCCTGAGCCCTGTAGGCATTTGCGTCTGTGATGCAGTGTATACTCCAATAAGAAATAAGGGATTGTGCCTTACCAAGTTTAAGAGTTGGTTGTTTTGGGACTTTTTTTTAGGATTGAAAGAGTTTTTTTTAATAAGAGTTATTAAAGGTCCCCTGGGTCTTGAAACTGTTGCTCTCAAGTTATTAACGTTTCCTCTGGAAAGTTGCACAGACATAGTGTCTGGCTTTAAATCATACCTATTTTCAGCTTCCCTTACATCAGGAGTATCTTGTGCCATATCAATTAAAGTAAGTGTCCTTTCAATTAAAGGTGTTAAGTATGAGTCCAAAAAAGATTAATTCTTTGTGAAAGGATGACCTTCAGTAGTTAGATCCAATTAGGCAGTTTTCCAACTATATTTCATCCTGATGGGACAAGTCTACTACACGCAATGAATCACTGTGATCTTTTCAGAGGTGGGTATTTTAGGTTCAGAGTCATAAAAGAATGACGTGACTAGGCAACCTCCATAACTTGAGCCACCGTTGATGTAGATCAAGATTATGGATGTTGGGTATGTATTACTTCTGTGGGATTGATACGTAAAGAATAAGGATGTGCATCATGATATGTTGGATGTGGTTCTCATACCTCTCCGCTCATGACCTTAGTAGAACAAACTAATTTAGACAAGCCTGATCAAAAGAAAAAGAGGAAAGGAACAATGGCATAAATTATGGTCACACCTAATTCCTTTTCTTTTTTTCTCCTTCTGTCATTTCATTATTAAACACACTATAAATACTTGCTTTCCTAGTGATTATTTTTTCTTTTTGAATTGTTGTCCTAATTCAACCTTTGCTGATGCACAACACACAAAACGAAGGCGTAAACAAATGCTTGCTGATCTTTTTACAGTAGCGTGTAAAATGTTGGGGAATATTTGTTTTCACTCAAAAGTTAAAGGGAATCGAACATTTGTATTTGCATTAGGTATTTCCAGTATGGAATTGTTGCTCCTCACTCTGCCACTCATTAACTTTGTAAAACAAAACCATTGAATGTACTCACCAAGAAATGGGAAACAAGTAATACCTGCTTTGTATATTTCAAAGGTTTATTATCAGGATCAGATGAAATCTGGTATCAGTATTTCTCAAAGTGTGGTCCTGTAACCCCCGGGGGGTCCTTGAGACCCTTTCAAGGAGCTTATGAGGTGGAAACTATTTTTATAATATTAAGAAAGTATCGGCCTTTTTCTCTCTCATTGTTTCACATACATACAGTAGAATTTCCAGTAGCTGGCTACATGATATGTGATATTGCAGCAGATTGAATACAAAGGCAAATATAAGAATCCAGCTACCTGAAGACAGACATTACAGAGGTTTACAAAAATAGAAAACAATGCATACTTTTCACTGATTTGTTTTTCTTTTGGAAAGTAAAATAATTTTATGTAAAAAAAAATTTTTTTTTTGACATTAACATGTGATGGGCTGATTATTTTCATTTTCAAGTGAATTAATAAATATTTTAAAACTTATCAGTTTTAATTCCTAATACAGTAAATATTGATAGATACAACCGACATAAACAAAAGTTCCGTAGGGGTCCTTGATACTTTTTAAGAATGTAAAAGAGTCCTAAGACCAAAAAGTTTGAGAACTGCCAACGGATATGAAAACACTGTGTAATGTGTGGTGACATTGTAGTTTATGAAGAAAATTCAGGCAACATGCAGACAGCCCTTCCAGTGCAGGCACTGGTTGCTCACTCCACCTCCAGGGCAGGCTTGCTTTCCCTGGGGTCCAAGATGATCTCTGAACCATCTACAGTTGCCTGCAATTTCACGTGTCGGTCATGTGTCTGCTTTTTTAGTGGGAGCATTCACAATTTTCACAGTTTTCAGATTCTCAGAAGGTCCTGAAAGAAGCACAGCTATAGGAATTGCTAATGTCCGCTAGTTCCCATTCTGTCTTCGAGAGGAGTAACGATAAAGTCGTGGTGCGGACACCCGAGAGGAGATTCTGAGGTTCCAGGCTCTCATGTCGGTAGCCTGGGCTTGGTTGTCTCTGGAGTTCCTGACCCTTTACCTCTCTGGTTGTGGGAGGTATTAGACTTGGGTCAGCTTCTCTAGGCACTGGGAGAAGGGCTTTCTCTCAGTTGGTACCATGCCTTTGTCATCGTTCTGGGCCTCCTCACACTTGGTGTCATAGGATGTGGTAGGACATCAAGAACCACCATCAGGCTATGGACCAAAAAGGGCCCATAGACTGACATCATCAAGATTCGGGCACTGTACCTAGAGACCAGGAGATATTACCAGAGTTTTAGAGTATCAGAGGGTTTGATCAGACTTGCCTGGCACTGGAAGGAGGATGTTCAGGGCTTGGTGTTCACACCATCTCTGTCTCTGTCTCTGGCACTCCTGGCAGCTGAGCAAAGGGTTGAATGCATACAGAAATTACTATTTCATATGTCCTACTGCAGTTCCTTAAAAGTTTTTTTTAATTAACTTTAATTCTAGCGTCTGTCGAGAGTTACTCATAATATTTTAGTGTTCTTATGAGAAAATAAAGCCATTCCGATTATAACTCACGGGCCCTTACTGTTATGTCTTGAAATTAATACGAATGGAAAAATCATGTCTTAGATACTTATTTGTTCCATATTTCCCCAGTGTCATTTGATATTTTGATTGAATGTACATATATGTGTCTATTGTAGTTTTATGTAAGCATTTTAAATTTCTTAAAAGTTTTATATATTCAGTGGGCAATTTCGTAACATTCAGAGGTCCCCCTCTATTTATTTAGATAAAATTTTTAACAACAAAATACACATCTTATTCTGGACATTTTTGTTGTATGATTTAATGTATAGTGCTGTTGTGAAGTTTATCGCTAAGGCTATCTTCCTTGTTTGTTTCACTTTTAAAAATAATTTGAGGGGACTTCCCTGGTGGTACAGTGGTTAAGGCTTTGCCTTCCAATGGCAGTGGGTGTGGGTTCGACCTCTGGTCGGGGAGCTAAGATCCCACAGGCTTCACGGCCAAAAAACCAAAGCAAAAAACAGAAGCAATATGTGACAAATTCAATAAAAACTTTAAAAATGGTCCACATCAAAAAAAAAAAACTTAAAAAAAATAATTTGATAAAATACTATTTTCCCAGGAAAAAATATGAAAAATGTATTGAATACTATTTATGCTAGACTAAAAGCTTCTGAAATTTTTAATTATGGAATTAAATTTAAGGTTACTGATTTAGTGTAGATTTTATAAAAGGAGCATTTAGTTTTGGAATTTTGTGATACAATCATGTTTGTATAAGGTAAATTCAATCAGTTAAACAATATCTCCCTTTATTCTTGTCATAACTGCCTCTTCCAGTGGAAGAAGTATCTAGAAGTAACCCAAAACTATTAAATGCTATCTATATGTCAGTAGCATCTTGTAAAAATTGGAATACATTTAGTTTGGTTAAACTCTGCTTCATTAGATTTTAATGTGCTATTTGTTATGTATTTCAGGAACTCCAGAAAGGAACTTAATGATATACGATTTGAGTTTACTCCAGGAAGAGGTAAGCTTTAATTGAAATTATCATTTTATTGCTACCAAGAGCATTTCAGAAATTGATTACTAGCATGTAGTTATAATTTGCTATTCAAAAATGTGTTCTCTAAAAACAAAGGAGGGAAGGAAGGAAGAAAGGAAGGATTTGCAATAGTTGTGGGGAATCCAAAGCGAACCCACTACTGACTGCATGAATTCCAGTGACACGTGCTGCACAGAATATACGCACTTATAAATTACATCTGTGAGCTCAACCATGAAAAGAAGTGCTGGCGTGGTGATTCGGGGCCTAAAGGACATTATGATGAGTGTGATGAGACGCGCGTAGCAGTCTTAATTAGGGTTGAGCAACAAACAGTGACATCAGACCAAAAGGTAGCATACTTTGCCTCTCTGTTGTCGGTTCAGATTACACGAAGCCTGTGCTGAGGAGTATCTGGGCCTCTACTTGCTGCAGGCACCGCTAGGAAACTTGGTAGGAACAGTGCTAGTCTTGCAGCTGAATATAATTTTAGTATTTTGAGTAGTTATTAAAATAGTTTCAAGGCTAGACTGGTTGCTCTTTTAGCGCCTGGATGCCTGGAAGTCATTGAGCCATGTCCTGTTTCTTGGTGTCTCTAGCACCTGGCAGGTGCCTGGTATGCACGAGAATCTCAAGTCATTTTGGTTAATTATTGGATACAGGCTTTGGAGATCACGACATCAGTTGTTAAACAAAAATTGCTCTTTGCACTCTTTAGTGCATAACCAGAACAATCTAGAGAAGTGAAAAACAGATGCTAATGCTAAGACTGGAGCTGTTGACCTTGATCTCTGCTTTCAGACTTTTATATACATGAAAACAGCTTCGATGTCTCATTAGTCTTATACATTTGAACATATTAATATATGTAAGCTAATAAATTCTCTATTTTATGTATTAGAACTCCACGTAAATTTTTATTCGATTAAATAAATTGTATTTGCTAAAATTTTGAAAACCCGAAACTTTCTAGCTTGATAGCTAGTCAGTCAGTTAACTGCTTGACCTCCCTGCTATTATCAACTGTAAGAAGACACAAACTCAAATGCTTACAGGAGCCAAAGTGAATGGTGGGAACTTCAGAAAACCAAGGAGTTCTGTCTAAATACATTCGGGTTCAGTGCCCACCAAACAAAATATGTTCCTGGGCCATAGGTGGTCAGTCATAGATTCATTGGCCCTGATGTCTAGTCCCCTGTAAACACAAAGATTTCATGATTTCCAGTATATTTGAATTAGACATATCTTTTTACAAAAGAAATGTGAAGAAGGCCCTGGTGAATTTGCTAACTGATCTTTCTTTCCGGGGGCAGTCTTTGACAATTTAGAGTCAGTCTGTGAAATTGAACAGTTGCCGGTTGCTGTTATCAAAAAGCTGTTTTGTCATAATATAAAGATATGGAGCAGCCAATACTGTAATAAAATCTAGCAGTTATATAATAAATGTTTCAAGTATAGTAAGTAAAAGAATTCTTATTTTAAGGGTTTCTTTTCATCTGATTGTGTAAGATTGACAGTGGCAATAAGAATCAATTTTAATTTCAAAGGTACCAAGGAAATGAATTTCTGAGTTGAGGATTGCTGGGGATAAGACGGCCTTATCAGCATTACCTGGCCCTTTGTGCTAGCTTTGGCAACCTCATTTGCCATGGTTAGATTCAGAGTCTCTGCTTTTGTTGCCCAGGCAGAAACCATAGTGCTCGCTTCCTGATGATAGCTGGCCTTCCCTGGGGAGCGAGCACAGCCGTTTAGTTTCAGAAACACCATAGCTATATCACTGTACCTCTGTGATTACTGATGCTGTCTGCATTTGAGATGTTGTTTGCGCTCGATCTGTGCATGCATACCATGTGTACTATGTCTCTGGTGTATACACAGATAAATATATACATCATTGAGTGTGTAATATGAACATATCAAATATTCTGTCGTCATTTGAGGGCGAGCCCTTTGTGTTTACTATGTTGCCGTAATGATCTAGAAAGCAGGGCGTACGTGATTATGATTATTTAACCCGTTTACACGTTAGGAACGTCAAGCAGCTTAAAGAAAAATAAATTACCAATTACCTTCAAGTTTTTGTTCTAAACTATTACTGATATGTTACTTAACTTGCATGAAAAATAACTGCTTAATGGCACACACACAGACAAGGAATATTTCCATTTTGACCAACCAGCACAACCCTTTTGCTATTTTAATATGACTCATTTGGTACCCAAGAGTCCTGAAAATAGTCAGAGGTGCTGTACACTTTGCTCATTTGGGAACGTTAATTTGCTTCCGTACTGCTTTAGTGCTAGCCCTCAGTGTGACTTTGTTGATTATTCCATTCTCAACTACTTTCTTTGATTATAGCTCCTTACTCAAGTGTAAGATCTTACTGATACTTTAGAGATGGTGGTAACACATCCAGTTGCTTTTAACCACTGACTACTCTGTGCCCGGTGTCTACGAGGCAGGCACTTTAATTCAATAGGCTTCTTTTCCTGAAGTTTCTAGTGGCATCCAGGAAGATGGCGATTGTGAGGCTGAATGTTCTAAAGCTACATCATTTTCAGAGTAGAGCCTTTCATTATGCTACCTTGGGTTCCATGCTATGAGAGGTTTTATCTCTGAGAGAATTTTATAAGGTGTTTCTTATACTTCTAACAGTTAAGGACAAGGCCCAAGATAAGCCCACCTTTTTTTTTTTTTTAAGCCCACCTTGTATGGAATTTCATTGTTTAGTAAGAGTCCTATGTTTTTCTTTTCCATTTTCTTCATTCCATTTCACTGAATGAGTAAAATGATAGAATACCACAGATTCTCTGAAAGTACAAAGAATATATATCAGCTCTCAAATTTTTATTGGAGATTTAGGAAATAGGGCCATGTATGAGGGAGAAAGAGCACAAGGGTGTAAGCAGCATTTCATGTGACCTTTGGCTGCCTCATCATCATCAATTACCATTTGTTGAGTTACTATGAGTCAGACCCTGGGCTAATAAGCACATTAAAGCCCAGTGTGAAAGATAATTATACCTTCAGCTATGTGCTCACGCAGACACACACACACAGACACACACACACACACACACCCCTACCCCTACCTGAGCCCACTTACATAATCACCACATGTGAAACACAGGCTAAGCAGGGAAACCCAGTCTGTGTTGAGGGCAGGCTTCAGCATAGCAAACTGCAATTCAGTTTAGGTGCTTGTTTGATTCAGGAGCTATGCTTTCCCAGTTTCTTCTTATCCAGCTATAGTATGGGCTATTTGTGAGAATATCAGGCCGCCATGGAGACCATGTCATCTCCCTTGTGAAAACATAGGGGTTCATAATGGTTCTTTGAGCACATGGCAATTTATCAATTTCCCTTTACAAAGTCTTCATACAGACTTCTCACTATTGTCGTGTTCGTCTATAACCTCTCAATTAAGTAATTTCAGTTATATTCACTTTCTACAGCCTGTTCAGTCCCATCTTTATGAGATTGCTAACTCCTGTCACTTACCATTGAGAAACTACATTCTTTTATCCAACCACATTTTCTAAGAGAATGAGTCTGTTGCTATCAAATGATCAAAGTCATGTTAAAGGATTTTCTTAATAGCATAAATTTAAAGAGCTCATCTTAATAGTCCAACAAGCTCATAGGCTGTTTGTACCAAATATAAGGTTGTATCAAATGCTACGTCTTCAACGTTTGCCATAAATTCTAACTCAGTAGCTACTAATGATAGAAAAGGATTGATGGTGGCTGGAGTTTACCTTGGCAAGAAAGAAGAGCAGTGTTCATAGGGAACAGTTATGAGCTAACTTCTAGAGGGGCATTTGAGAATAACTCAGATAGTAGACAAAGGGTAATAGTTTTTTGGATCAACAAAAATGAAACAATAAGTTTGTAAAACCTCTGTTGAATAAAGAGCAGGATGCAAATTGTACGTGGCAAAAGTATTTCACATTTTGCTTCTGATTTTTCCTCCTGATAGAATCTGAATTGTTGAATTGAAACACACATGGATGATTTTTCTAAATGAAAAATCTATATTTTACATTGTACTGGATTTGGGAGTTTTCTTGTATGGTTACTGATACACCTTCATTTCACGTTTGGGCAGATACGGCAGACGGCGTTTCTCAGGAGCTCTTCTCTGCTGGCTTAGTCGATGGTCATGATGTAGTTATAGGTAAGTCACTTTTTAATGCATGTAGTGTCATTTTGTTGATACATCAAATGGAAATGCACTTAGAAACAAAAGTTTTCATAAAGGAATAATTCTGTGCATTTCTGAAAATTTCTTGAATTCTTATCTTTTATGTGAAATAGGTATATTTAAGAGTCATATTTAACTTCCTGTTTCAAAAGCTCTTAAATGTAATTCTGTCCCATTTGTCTGGACGTGATTTATCCAATGCAGAACGTCACTTATTGGAGATAAAACAAAGAACCTAGAAGACCGAAACGTCCATGACATAGCAAACCCAAGATACTATAAATTCCATGCAGCAAAGTATGGGAACTTCTGAGGTCCTTTCTCTGAGTTTCTCTATTCTTTTTCCTAGCTCTTAGTAAGGTTCATTCATTATAACGTTTTAAGGTTGGTTAGGACTTAACGATCATTCAGGCCAGTTCTACCATTGTGTAGACAAGGAAGCGAATTCCTAAAGTGATTCAGTGGTTTGTCCAGGGCCATGCAGCTAGGTTGTGGCAGAACCACCACACTTTGAGACTGTGGCTCTTTCTACTACTTTTAGAATCAAGAAAAGGCTGCGTTGGAACTAGGGGAGCCTGCTAGCTCTAGGCATGCTGACAGGAGCAAGAAATGACTGCTGGCCAAGCAAGGCAGAAAAGCTGTGTAGAGGCAGAAAGTGTCATCTAAGAAAAAGCATAGCCTGATTCTACCTAGGGTGAGGGTGAGGGTGAAGGGCTCCACACTCTTCAGCAAATTCTGAGTTTATGAAGATTTTATCATGTAGCCTATTACTGCATATTGGTAATGAAGACCCTAAGTAATAAGGATGAGTTAATATTAATTATGACATTATGTTCATTATATTGTTAATTATATATAATTATAATAACACTATAATAGTATTATGGTAAAAGTTTCTTTAAAAATATTCAAATCAAAACCAATCCTTGAAATAGCCTGGGCCCCTTAAATGATATGTTTTAACTTTTTAAAAAAATCACATACTTGAAATAATCCTTCCCCCAAAATACTGGAGTGTGTCACTAAGAGGGAGCTTGAGGTAGATATACTTACCCATCAGAATAGTTTGTTCTGGGCTTCCCTGGTGGTGCAGTGGTTGGGAGTCCGCCTGCCGATCTAGGGGGCATGGGGTCGTGCCCAGGTCCGGGAGGATCCCATATGCTGTGGAGCGGCTGGGCCCGTGAGCCATGGCCGCTGGGCCTGCGCATCCGGAGCCTGTGCTTCGCAACGGGAGAGGCCACAACAGTGAGAGGCCCGCGTACCACAAAAAAAAAAAAAAAAAAAAAGAATAGTTTGTTCTTAGAATCTCTATAATATACATCATTATAAAGTGAATTGTTTGGGCTTCCCTGGTGGCGCAGTGGTTGAGAATCCGCCTGCCAATGCAGGGGACACAGGTTCAAGCCCTGGTCCGGGAAGATGCCACATGCCGCGGAGCAACTAGGCCCGTGCACCACAACTACTGAGCCTGCGCTCTAGAGTCCATGTGCCACAACTGCTGAAGCCCGTGCACCTGGAGCCCATGCTCTGCTACAAGAGAAACCACCGCCATGAGAAGGGTGCACACCACAATGAAGAGTAGCCCCCGATCGCTGCAACTAGAGAAAGCCTGCACGCAGCAACGAAGACCCAATACAGCCAAAAATAAATAAATTTATTAAAAAATAAAGTGAATTGTTTTATGTAAATAAGAGTAACAGGGAGTTTAGTGGGAGATTGGAATTCTGACTAAAGAATTAGTACCTAATATGTTATTGGTATACAAATATTCATAAATGTAGGTACAAAGATATCTTTGTAATTAGAAAAAAGTAAGCTTTTCCTGATTAATTACACATGAAGTGTACACATTGGCCTCACAAGGGAGCTCTGTTTCCTTTGCCAAGTGGTACATGTGTAAAGAGAGAGAGACATATTTTAAAGGAAAGTGACATGCACATGGACCTACAGGTGTGTGTATATATTTCCTTGTATATTGTCTTTCATACTTTACTTTAAAACCTTGTGAGGTCCCATGGCCAGCTGAGTTCTTCCCTCAGTTTTCTGATCAAAGTGAGGGGAAGATGAGTAATAAGATCAATTCAACTTTGGCATCTATTGTATCAGTAAGTTCCATCTCAGAATTCTTTATGTTAACAGTTGATAAACGTAGATTCTCTCATTTGAAAAAATGAGCACACACCTCTGTGTCTTAGTTTACCTGAAGAAATAAGGAGAAAAGTTAACGGCTAGATCACGATACCCTGTAAGGTATTGGTATATTTTCCTTAAAGAGAGCTATGGTCCATACCCAAAGCAGCCAGAATTTAAAATTAATTAACAAATAAAAAATAATTTTAAAACACCCACTAATGTCTCCTATTTGGCAAAAAAGTTGAGGAGCACGTGGTCTTTTGATTTGAGGTCATCGTGGCAGGTGGTAGGGCGCAGGAAGAATGAAAGAGATTCGTGGAGAAGTATCAGGTCACATCTTTATTTAAGCATGATCTTGCTTCAGGCCTACCGTCAAATTTAGTGTACTTCTTTTCTCGCCCCAGGCTCAGCTAAGCTAGAGGATTTTGGATTGTTGAGTTTTTTAAAAGTGGAAATTAAGGCATAATTCACATCCAAATTATTGAGTGTGATTTAAATAACCAGAAAGCTTGGGGCTTCCCTGGTGGCGCAGTGGTTGAGAGTCCGCCTGCCGATGCAGGGGACACGGGTTCGTGCGCCGGTCCGGGACGATCCCACATGCCGCGGAGCGGCTGGGCCCGTGAGCCATGGCCGCTGAGCCTGCGCGTCCAGAGCCTGTGCTCTGCAGCGGGAGAGGCCACAACAGTGAGAGACCCGCGTACCGCAAAAAAAATAATAATAATAAATAAATAACCAGAAAGCTTCTGTTTTTCTATGCTGTATTTATTCTTCCCCCAATTTTTTATTTTGCCTTTTTCCCCTTCTTAGAGCTGACGTGTAGAGTGTTGGAGTGAGACTGAGCGTGTGCACTTGTTCCTTATCTAGCAGTACTCACCACACCTCACAGGGACAGCTCACCTAAGAGTTACAATGTCTGCATATTTCATTTGATCATCACATCAATTCTATAAGGTAGAAAGGACAGGTTTTAATCAATATTTTATGGACAAAAAAGGGAGGTCAAAAGAAGTTTCTGGGTTATTATAACTTGTCATAGTCCCTGAACTTGGATCTTGTGATTCCAAGCCCAGAGCCTAATCCTGAACCTGACACTCTGTGTACAATTAATCCAATATCTTTAGCCTTGAAGAAGGGACCTAGATAATTTTAACTGGTTTCGGTGTCTCTTGGGGGAAAAAAAAAAAAAATAGCTTGCCCTGTTTTTCCTGTATCAGTAGATGATTTATATTCTAACTGTTGACTATTTGATAGACAGGTGAAATGTGTTTAATTCTGTCCCCTCTAACCCCTCTCAGCCCCTCCTGCATCACTTACCTCCCTCTTTATTAGATTTGTCCCGCCAGCACATGGACATGTTTTTGTCTCCCATTCTAAAACCCTCTCTTTACTCCACCTCCCATTACAGCTACTTCTCTTCATCCCCTTGCAACTAAAGTCCTCAAAAGAATTGCCCCTGACTTCAGTTCTTCTTCTACCACTGTCTCTTGAACTCACTCCAGTCAACTTCCTCACTCCACTCAGACTATTTTTTCCAAAGCCATATCTGGGGAAGGCATACCCTTGGTAGATAAAATGGTAAATGCAAAGATAGATGTGGCCGGAGTGGAGTGAGCAAGATGGAGGGAGAGAAGATACATGATCTGTGAATGACTGCCTGCCACGCTCCTAAATCCAGTGGTTAATTCTCAGTGACCTGTCAGCAGCATTGGGCATAGTGGACAATGCCCTGCTCCATAAGTGTTTTCATTTGGTTTTTAAGACTCCATTCTCTCTTGGTTCTCCCACCTTATTTATGCTTCCTTCTTAGTCTTTTTTTTTTGTTTTGATTTTTTGTTTTTTGCGGTACGCGGGCCTGTCACTGCTGTGGCCTCTCCCGTTGCGGAGCACAGGCTCCGGACGCGCAGGCTCAGCGGCCATGGCTCACGGGCCCAGCCGCTCCGCGGCATGTGGGATCTTCCCGGACCGGGGCACGAACCCGCGTCCCCTGCATCGGCAGGCGGACTCTCAACCACTGTGCCACCAGGGAAGCCCTTTAGTCTTTTTTCTTGGTTCCTCTTCATCTCTCTGACCCAGAAATATTGACATGTCCAAGGACTCTTTCCCTGGATTTCTCCTCTTTAGTCACTCACATCCTTGGTGATACCATCTGGTTTCATGGTATTAATGCCTTCCACTCTCTAACTCCCGCATTTGTATCTCCAGCACAGACCTATCCTTTGAATTCCAGACTCATATTCAGCTCTCTTTTTGGCATCTTCACATAGAAGGCTCATCACTGTCCCAGGTTTAATTAACATCTCCAAGAACCAGCCTCTGTTGTTCCTCCCAATCTGCCCCTCCAGCAGCCTTGTACCCTAAGTTGATGTCAGCTCCATCTTTTCAGGTGCATAAGCCCCAAACCTAAGAGTTGTCCTTGACTTTTCTTTCTCTCATAGTCAATATCCAGCCTATCTAAATGTACCCGAGACCCAGCCATTATTCACCATCTCCCATCCTGTTTCAAACCCCTCTCATCTCTCAGTTGAATTATTGCCTTCATCTAGTCACTGGTCTCCCTGCTTATGACTTTGCCTCCTTTCAGCCTATTCTCATCACAGCAGCCAGAGAGATACAAGTAAAACATAAGTCAGATACAAAAGGCCACACATATTATGATTCCATGTATATGAAATGACCACAATATGCAAATCTGTAGAGTCAGGACATAGAGTAGTGGTTGCCAGGGCCTGAGAGGGACAGGGAGAAGGGGAATGACTGCTTAGGGGTCTTGGGCTTCGCTTTGCAGTGCTGAAAGCATTCTGGAATTAGAAGTGGTGACGGTTGTACAACCTTGTGACTAT